TCTCCGTGCCCTAATAAAAGAGGTTGATAAGTAACAGACCAAAAAATACATGAAAATAGACAAAGGAGGCAAATTTTTAACTGTTTTTTCTCGTAATACATTTAAGGCATCCTCATGATGCCAGACTCGGCTGCGCTTCCCAGGTCCCTTGGGTGATTCTTGACGTATAATCTTTCTTCCCATCTCTTTAATCAACTGATGCATTGTCAACTTGTTATTATCATTGATTGTTAAGTGACATCTATCGATGAGATTCTGAATCCCAACCTTTGTGCAAAAACCACATTCATCTAGTATTGTAATTATGAAATCTCTATCCTTTCTAACAAAGAAACAAGAAATGTCGAGGAATAAATTTTTGTCATGGTCATCTTGTAAAGAATCGAAGCTTATTTTGAGCTTTTTTAGGATCTGACTGTCTGGAATTGCTTCCAGTTTCTTTAATGCACTTTCCCACACCTCTACACTTCTCCCAGATAAAGAAGAACCCAAAATTTGAAGACCTAAAGGAAGTCCTCCACAATACTTTACAACCTCTTTTGTGTACTCCACGTAACCTTCAGTGGGGCGGTCTTGTCCAAAGGCATACCAACTAAAGAGCTGAAACGATTCGTCCTTATTTAATTCCTCAACCTTGTGCATCTTGTACATTTCATGAGCCTTTAATAATCTCTCATGTCTAGTTGTTATGATGATTTTACTACCAGGATAAAACCAATCTCGTATTACGAGTACTGCATTTAATTGGTCTAATTGATCTACATCATCAAGCACAAGCAGAACTCGTTTACAACAAATTGCATCTCTTATCCTAATAAGTCCTTCATTAACACACCTAATTTTTTCCATTTTTCCCCTTCAGAATATCTGAAAGAAGTTGTTTCTGCAAACAAACCAATCCATTGGGTTGTTCTGATATTTCTCTGATATTTGCCAGAAAGCAGCTGCCTTCAATCTGCTAAAATTAAGGTTATATAGAGTTTTGGCAATGGTTGTCTTGCCTATACCACCCATCCCACATATTGTCACTATGCCAACTTTGTCTGACCCATCTCGTAACCACAAATTAATGTCTTTAACATGAGAATCTATTCCAACTGGATGTGGACGAACACTCAAGACCATGGGCTTTAATTTGTTCTCGATCTCTTTAATGATCTGCTGACTAAATCTTGACTCGTACCTGTTAAGATAATTTACAAACTACTTTACTGAAAAAACAATGAAGATTGAATTTTGATACATAAAATAATATGGATTAGAAAATTAAGACGTGGTCAAGATCTTACCTTGCTCCATGGCATATAAACTTTGCACGAAAAAACTTATGGGGGCCAAATGTGGTGTTCATTTTCCAAGAAAGTACAAACTCGGACCTTAACTTAATGTTATGAAAATAAACTAACTATTGGTCTTGACATCATAAATCCTTAATTTTCTTCATGTAGAAATAGTTAAGAGATTGCGTTTTATTTTTTGCATACAACTGAACGTCGTGGAAGATACAGTAATCTTAATTTTCGTTTGTCCACACCATGGAGTATTCCTTTGGTCTGTTAATTCCTATTGATGAAAAATAATAGTTAATTCTAATTATACATATAAACAGTGACAATCTTTAGTTTTACTGATATCATATTTTTAGTTTATAAATCTCATATTTGATCATCTTCTAATTAAATTTTATAATACTCTCTTCATATGATAATCTAATATTAAATCATGAATGACTATGCATATGCCACACAAAATTAATCGCTAACAGTACCTACAAATTACTACTAAAATTGAAAATAAAGCAAACATGTCATAAGTTGAAATGAATAAGTAGTTAAATGAAAGTGCAATAAAAAAAGAAAAAAGAAAAAAAGAAGTCAATTGGTGTTTAGTTTTGACCATGTCTTGATAGAATGCCTGTATAGTTAATATCACACTGTAGATAAATCGAAAGAAAGAATTTCTATTTAAGAAAGAGATGGTAATATAAGCATCTAAAGATGCCAGTAAATAAAATAATATTCAAATCTATTAACTGTTGAACCAAACAGTTTTAAACAAAGAACTTCAAGGAGATCACCCGTGATTTAAAACCATTCCTGCCAAATCTGCAACTTCTCTCATAGCTGCCTTCCACCTCTTTATCTTGTCCATCCCTTCCTCTTTTGTTCCTTCCGTCTCTTTCTTAAATCTCTCCTCGTGTTCTGCAAATGCTTCTGCAAAACTTCCCGTCTGCTTCCTAACATGGGATGGATCCACATGGTTGAAAATGGGTAGAATAATATGACCAACGCTCTTCTTGCGATCTAGGATTTTCAGAAGTTCATCAAGGCACCATCTTGAAGATGCATAGTTTTTTGAGTAGACAATTATTGAACTCCTCGACTCTTCAATTTCCTTTATCAGTTTAGAGGAGACTCAAGTCCATTATCATCTCTAAATGTATGTATTCCGGCATGTATCAAAGCTGTATAAAGGTGATCAGTAAAGGTATTCCGGGTGTCTTCTGTTGTGCGGAAGCGTTCCCGAACAGATATACCCACAAAGATGGGATATCCAAGTAACAACTAGAATTAAAATGATAGTAAAAATAACACGCCACAAGACAGGATTTATACGTGGTTCACTTTCCCAATAGGGCTACGTCCACAGCCGATGACGATTCGTATCACTATAAAGAAGAAGATTACAAATTGAAGAACTTTTTGGTTCTTCCCCACAATAATCTCTCTTCTCACACCTCTCACTTACCACAAAGAAGACTTACACAAACACTCTCAAGAAATACCCCAAATAGTATATGGTTTACACAAAGAGGAAAACCCACCTAAAAACAAGCTTCAAGTTTCACTTGAAGATTGCACACACAAAAGGATTTTCTCACACACACAAAACCAATATACTCCCCTGATCCAAATTCACCCTTTCTTGGATGCCTCTCGGATGATTTTGGATGATGATTAGAGGTGAAGGCATTGCCTATTTATAGGCAAAGATTGGCTCCAATACATATGCAATGACATCAATTTGTAGAGTCAATACATATGCAATGACATCAATTTGTAGAGTTCAATTTAAACTCAAAATACATGTTTTCCTCAAGTCACAAATCTTGACTTGACTTGCCAAAATTTGTGCCAAATTCTAACAATCTCCACCTTGACACAAAATTCTCAGACAATACCATAACGAGTCTTACTTCATCGCAATGTGAGTAATAACGTGATTAACATCTCCAACAAAATAATCAATAAAGAATTTTAGTTAAGTTTGACTCATCCTCAAACTTAACCCTATGGCTCTTATTCTTCAACCTATGTATGCCTTATGCAGCCACAAGCATACCCCCAGTATTTTTGTCAAACTCCAAATGCTTACTAAAAGCACCATCAGAAACTCTAAGTTTGACATCTCCTTCAGCAATCTTCTCCAACCGCTCACGAACCACCGGCTGGTAATGAAAAGTCATCTTCTCTCCCTTTTGGAGAATAGGACGTCCTTGACTTTTCCTCGCATCTCTATTGTGACCAACTACTTGCCTCCCACACATCTGAATTTCACTTGAATGGACTATCTCATCGCCACCAAGATTATTGCAGGTCAATATTACACCTGTCCTCATGGGTCTGCCTCCCTGTAAGGACTGCTGCAATTTCGGTAATTAAGTTGAAATAAATTAAAAAGTTGAAAGAAAATAAGTGATTCACAATATTCTCATTCTTATTCTTTATTAATCAATCAAACATAATAAGTGATTCACAATATTCTCTTCTTTTCTTCGGCCTTGTTTCGCATCTGTAATGTTTTTGGTGTTTTTGTTGCAGATCCGTTACAGTAGCCCAAAAGTGGTCCAAAACATGTTTGTTGGGTTTTGTTTTGTTTTGTTTTGAAAAGTTGTAAAACATTTTAGAAAAAAGGCCCAAAACTTAAAACACCAAAATGGTGTTTTAAGATGATTCAGCACCGCTTGCCCAGTCCATGCACTGCATCGGAGGAAACATTTGGGCCAAACTTATAACATTGTACAACATGTATATAGGCTATGTTACATTTTAGGTCATTTGCGTCCCTTACGTTCTCTCTCCTCCTTCGTTGTTCTTTGTCGCGATTTAGGGCGATTTCACTGCATAGTGCTAACCTCGATCGATTCAAGCATTTTTTTTGCTTAAAACTACCACCAATTTGAAGCTCTTTACACTTTTGACAAAAACATAGGTTTTACAAAATCTTATTCAACAAATTTAACAACAAATCAACCGCCCAAAGTTTGAGTACTACTACATTTTAGAGAGGTAAAAGAAGGAAAGAAGTGGTATAGGTTAAAGATAGGAAAAATTACCATCAAGTTTTACTTTTTTAATTGAAAGATAAATAAGTCTTAAAAATTTTCCTTTAGAACCCTATTTTTGAGATTTATTTATTTATTTATTATTTTTTTATTTAAGCTCTAAATCATTAAAAAGATCTTCTATTGATGGTAAATTAGATATACTCTTGCTAAATTAGGTATAAAATCAAACTTTCATTTACAAAATTAGACAAAAATAAAATTGAATAAAAAGGGAAAAAATACATTAAATTGGTTTTTATAGATTAGTTAAAAAAAATTTGTACTAAAATCGGGTTGCAGAAGACTTTTTATAAGCATCAATTATTATTTAAAGCCATAATGCAATATTATTAAGCAACTAAATCTTTAGAAAAAAACTCTATATAAAAAAATTGTAGAAAGATCTATATATATAATGAACTTGTGATATTGAGCAATGGGTCTTCCAAAAGTTAAACTTCACCTGCAATGAATTGATCATTTCACTGATATTGTTGTGTTGCCTGAAGTGAGGTTTCTGCATGAAATTGAGGAGCATATCAACTTCCATATACGTATAAGAGTGCAAAACTGATGAACACATATTGCATATTAGCTTCCATATACGTATAAAAGTGCAAAACTGATGAACACATATTGCAGAGTAATATGAAATATTATTAATAAATAATGATTATTGTTCTCTTGTGGTAACCACATGTGATGGTAAATCTGCAACATCCCCTTCTTCTTGTTCATACACAATGTGGACTCCTAACTCCTTTACTTCATATTCGTACCACATTTCCACATCCACAGTCACTTCATCACCAGCTTCAATCTGATTCCCAAGCTTCCAATGGCTTACCCCTATCATATTTTCCCCCTCATCTGGAAACCCTGTTACGTTTGGGTAATAGATCCACTTCACATCTTTGGTCTTATTGAAGGTTCGAATTATAAATTCATACCAAAAGCTGTGGAAATCTCTAGAACCATGGAAATTATAAACAACGCATACATTCAAGCCTCGGATCTTGAGATTATTAGGAAGTGAAGGAACACTGAAACATATCTTATTGGCTGTTGTAGTCTTATTGCTGTACCAGGCTGGAACCTCATTTCCAGGAAGATAAATGCTGAATATACCGAATTCATACAGTCCCTGTTCCATGATAATCATAACTTCATACAACATGAGAGAGAGAGAGAGAGAGAGAGAGAGAGAGAGAGAGCGCACCTGGATAGGACCAATCAACTCATTCATTGTTATGTAATTGTACAATTTCACCTCAACCTCTTCCATGGATTCCAACTCAATCAACTCCAAATTCTTGATCATTTCTGCATCAATGTTTTGAATAGGTTCCAACCTGAACAATTTCTTTACCTCAACTACTTTCTCACAATCAGCCGCAAACCATTTCAGATCCACTGACTCCCGTTTACTCAACCAATTGGGAGGATTTGTTATTATTTCAAGTGACATGCATTGCTCTAAATTCAAGCTTTGTAAACTCATTGGTAGCTCTGGAAGCAATTGGAGTTTTGTGCATTCCCCTAAATTAAGAATCCGGAGCATGGTGAGACACTTGATGCTCTCTGGAAGGCTACAGATCGGATTTCGCCTTAGATTCAAGTGCTGCAACAGGGATAGCCTACCAAGATCCCTTGGAATGGCACCATCTGACAGATTGCAGTTTGCAAGACTCAACCTCACTAATGTGCGTGGCGAGCAATCCAATGAAGAACTGATCGATTCCGGAGGTTTTATTAGTCTAAAAACCCAAGAGATTATGTCATTGCTGGTAGAGGGTAGTTGAATTATTGCAGTAGCATCTGCATTAAAATCCTTTAAAGATTCCATCTCGCACATCTCTTCGGGCAACTCGACAAGCTTTGAGCAACCAGAGAGAATGAATTTCTCAAGCAATTTTAGCTGACCAATTTTTGTGGGAAGATTTCTAAGATTCTTGCAGTCTTTTAGATTTAACAGAACAAGTCTCTTCAATTCCCCAATGGATTCATGAACCTCCATCAAATTTATGCAATCTTTAAGAATCAAGCTCTCAAGATTAGGAACATTTGAGAAGTCAGGAGTCTTTGTAAGGTCATGGGAATGGCTAAGATTGAGGATTTTCAATGATACGAGCGACTGTCATAAAAAGTAAGAAATTGGCTAGTTTATACGAATATTTATATGAATTACCAAAGAAAGACAAGAAAAAAAAGAAAAAAGAAAAAAGAAAAAGAAAAAGGAAAGATTAAAAGAGAACTTAATATTATACCTTTTTCCCCTTCCAAACTTGTTTTAAGCTGCTATATTTCATCTCAAGAATAACTAAGCTCTCCAAAGAAAACTCACTGGGTATCTCCTTAGGAAATTGTTTGTAATTTCTAGCGAGACTTACATTATTGAGCTGGAGCAGTCTAAGATTGTGCATGCTTGAAAATGCATCAGTTTGTAAGTCTACTTCATTTGATGTGGAAGATGACTCTGTCCAGGCAGAAGTTACAGGGATCCAAGAGAAAATGTGTAGCCGACCCCGCTTCGACGAAGAGAAGCCTTGGCCACTCTGCTCCGACGAAATGCTTCGATGCAAGTTGAGGGTGAGACCTTCAATGACTTCTGTTCCCTGGTAAAGAGGACTCACAAAGTAAGCACACCATGCAACAAAAACAAGAAAAATAAACTTGCAAATCATAGTTCTTACATTTTTTTTTTCTCAATACATTCAAGGCATCTTTATGATGCCACAGCTTGCTGCACTTCCCGGATACGTTGGTGATTTCTGACGTATTATTTCTCTTCCCATTTCTTGTAGAAGCCTATGCATTCTTAGCTTGTTGGACCAATCAACAGTTAAGAGACATCTTTTAATGAGGTTGTCAATTCCAACTATTGGGTAGAATTCACAAGCTTTGAGTACTGTAATTACAAAATCTTTATTCTTTCCCACAAAAAAACAAGCAATGTCGAGGAATATTTTTCGGTCGCAGTCGTCTTCAATCAAAACTAATTTTGAGCTTTTCTATGATTTGACTCTTAGGAACTGCTTCCAATTTCTTTATTGCACTTACCCACACATCTACATTTCTTCCGGATAGAAAAGAAACCTAAAACCTCAAGAGCTAGAGGAAGCCCTTCACAATACTCTATAACCCTTTTTGAGTGCGCCATGTAAGCTTCAATGGGATGGTCTTTTCCAAAGGCATGCCAACTGAAGAGCTGTAGTGATTCATAATAATCTAATTCCTCAACTTTGTGAATCTCATACAATTTATATACCTTCAATAATTGCTCGTCTCTACATGTTATGATAATTTTGCTTCCTTGCTTAATCCAATCTTGCATTAGGAGCATTGCTTTTAATTGGTCTGGTTGATCCACGTCATCGAGAACAAGTAAAACTCTTTTTGAGGAAAGTGCTTCTTTGATCATTATGTTTCCTTCATGAACATTGCTAATTTTTACCTTTCTTCCCTTCAAAATTTTTGAAAGAAGTTGCCTCTGTAAACGGACCAAACCATCCGGCTCTTTTGATGTTTTACTTATGTCTGCAAGAAAACTGTTACCTTCAAATTTGTCGAAATTTAGGTTATACAAAGTTTTGGCAATGGTTGTCTTGCCAATGCCACCCATCCCATAAATTGCCATTATGCCAACTTTATTTGATCCATCTTGTAACCACAAATTAATGTCTTCTATGTGAGAATCCAATCCAATTGGGTATTGACAAACACTTAGGACGGTGTGATTCAATTTGTTTCCAATATCTTTAATGATTGCCTGAATAAAATTTGCCTCAGACCTACAAATTGTGATGAAAATTGAAAGAGAAAAAAGCAAACATGTTGTAATTAAGTTGAAACAAATTAAAAAGTTGAATGAAAATGCCAACACAACATCAATTTCATGCTTTCGATGTTGTCATTACAAAATATATATATATATATATATATATATATATATATATATATATATATACACACATTCATGGAAATGTTGAATATTTATGACAATTTTGAATTAATATAATTACACAATCACTAATGAGTAATGATACTCACACCAAACACTTGTAATGAATTGTCTTACCGAATTATTTTTAATTGGCTATTAATACTAAATACAATTAAGTGGAGGGTTCCACTTTTTTATTTATTGCATAATTGATCAATTAAAAGAGTAAGTCTAACAATTCATTGTAACTATTTGGTACAAGAATCATTTTCTATCACTAATTTGTTAAGAAAGCACCAAAAGAAGAAAAAACATTTGTCGCAAAATGATAATGTTCACAAATCTCATATCCAACTTGAGAAAGTAATTTCATGATAAGGGGTGGTTCATCCTTAAAGCTTCATCTGTTTTCGGACTCTTTATTTCTTTAATTTTATCCTTATAATTTCAAAGTGCTTTTATTCATTTAAAACAGCCAAAGTTGAAGTTATTGAGGCACTTTATTCTAATGATTTTTTTTTTTCTTTAGTTTTTATTTTTATTTTTTATTTTACCTTGACAAAACACACACGCGCGCACACGCGCACACACACACACAAAGAGTAAGTAGACAACACAACCCTTGGCTTAAATCATAATTTGTCTTCGGCTTAAGTCACACAATTAGTCTTTTAAAAAAATATTTGGGATTACCCTCTTTTTCACCCAAGCCAAGCTGTTAACGTTTTTGGAGAAAAAATAAAAAATAAAAACGCTGTTAACTTTTTGATTATTCAATAGACCGGCTTAGAAAAAATTTGCCAACCAGGTGCAGGAAGTTGCGGAAGGAAAATTAGGCTATTGGGCTTTAAATTGGCCAGTCTCAAGCGTGCAATCAACCTCAATTTGTGCTAGAATTGGGCCTAATCTCTTTTTGTACTGCAGGACAAATAAATAAATATATATATATATATAGGATTATTTAACTACTTGCATGATTACCTATATAACTAAATATGTTGAATTATTAAATTATATATGAACATAAATATATATGAATAATAATGCAACACTTATAAATTACGTTATTATCTAAATAATAGTATAATTTATACTATTATTAAATTATAGAACACAAATATATAAGAATAATAATACTTTATACTATTAATAAGTTAGCATTGAATATGTTCATATATACTATTAAATTATAGATACTAATCACTTATAAATTACGTTAGTATCTAACTACTTACTGTTATTATGTGTAATTAAACTAATATTTATAAAAATGACTCCAACAATGTTCATTTTAAAAAATCATTGAAAGTTTTAACGACATTAGTTTTATTTACTGTAAAGAAACAGGTTCTGAGGACATATGGTGTCCTAATAATAGGTTATAAAAGCACGCCATCAAATGTTCTCAACCCCACATCATCTTTGAGACTTAATGAGTAGAATAATAAGACTTTAGGTTAGAGAAGGCAATTTGATTTTTAGCTTTTACAAGCCAATCACATCTCTTGATGTTGAATTTAAATTTAATTTATTAATAATAAATTAAAAAAAGAAGAAAAGAAAAGCTTTCGGCCATGTAAATGGACCGTTTGGCAACCTCCAAAAGAGCATGAGTCATTTGGAGGATGGGATTTCAATCTCTCTCCATCTCACTCGTCTTTTAATTCATGGGCTAAGGAGTTATAATAGACCCAAAACCGGCATTGGTTGAGTTGGGTTACTAATTGGGCCTGGCCTAATATTGAAAGCTAAGCCCAGGTCCACCCCCATCCTATTAGTTTATTAGGCCAGGCTGCTTCTCTGACCTTGGACGTCCTTTTAATGGTGGTATGAATGGTGTTATTGTATTTTCATTCAATAAATAGGTTAATATAAATAATTAGGATTACAGAAAAATTCTAGTTGTAAAGGCTCGAAAATTAAGAGAAAACGATCTTAGAAGAAAGGAACCTAAAAAGTTTCATGTGGAAATTTATAATTTGACTTTTGAACTTCAATTTGTGAATAAAAAAAATTCTAAAATGACTAAATATAATTTCTAATCGTTAGTAAAGTTTTGGGACAATTAAAACTTGTATCATGTTTTAAGTAGTATAATTTATAAATAAAATGGAGGGACATTAATAAAAGTATCTAAAGACATGCAGCTAAGGAATTGAGTACTTGAACCAAATGACGTCAAAGAAAGGAGGCAGGAGCTTACTCATCTTTTCCTAACACATGCGCTGCCAAACCTGCAACTTCTTCCAAAGCTTTCCTCTAGCTTCTAATCCTGATTATTCCCTCCTCTTTTTTTTCATTAGACTTCGACTTCGATTTCAATCTCTCTTCGTGTTCTGCAAATGCATCTCCAAAACTTCCCTTTAGCCACCTTAGATCAGATGGATCCACATGGTAGAACACGGGTACAATCATATGACCAACACTCCTCCTGTGCTCAAGCATCCTTAGAAGTTCATTAAGGCACCATGTTGAAAATGCATAGTCTTTTGAGAAGACAATTATTAAAATCCTTGATTCATCGATTGCCTTTATCAGTTCTAAGGCGATATGATCTCCTCTTCCAAGTTCATCATGATCTCTAAATGTGTGTATTCCTGCATTTAGTAGACCTATATGTAAGTGATCGGAAAAGGTTGTCCAAGTGTCTTTGCCTCGAAAACTCAAGAAAATATGACAAAAACTCTTGAGGAGGCTTCTTGAGATCCCATAGTAGCCATCAAATAAAGAACAAGGAGATGAAGAAGTACTGCTGTACAAAATCTTTATAATCACAGCACAACCAATATTTGTATATATAAGATGTCAAAAAAATAAAATAAATAAATAAACAAACAGTATTATGTACTGAATATTTGAAATAAGCAAAATTAATTAGATCCTATACATTTCCTACATAAGCAAAATACTAAAAAGAAGAAAAATAATAATAATAATAATAAATAAACTATATTATGTAATGAATATTTGAAATAAACAAAATTAATTAGATCCTATTCATTTCCTACATAAGCAAAATACTTAAAAAAAAAAAAATAAATAAATGCAGTCTAATAAATTATACATAAAGCATCGGATAAATGGAAAGCACGTGACAAAAAGTGCAGATATACAAATGCTTTAAATTGGCTCCACAAATATTGTAGCTGTAGCTGAACTCAATAAACCAACAAAATTTTATGTCAATCATTTGAGATCAACATTTGATGCATCCAAAACAAGAAACAGAATTATATGATTTCAATTCATTTACGATTTTGAACAATCAATCCAATGTATAATAAATAAATAAATAAATAAGGAAATCTTATTGGTGTTTCTGGTACATAAATCTTTCAAATCATATAAACCAAAATAAAATAGCTAAAAGACTAATTAACTTATAGTTATTAAAAATTTATGTAGTTAACTAAGTTGTGACACTGAGCAATAGGTCTTTCAAAAAGATACAAGAACGTTACCTGTATTAGATGATTGATCGATTCCCAAAAAGATTGAGATTGTTTTGTTGATTGAAGAAGAGAAAGAGAGAGAGAGTAGTGAGCAAGATAATTAAAGATTGAAGGTAAAGTCTGAAATGGTAGAAAAAGAAGGGAGGAAATTAAAGGAAAGAAGCATATACAGGTGGCATCCACCAAACGAGTTCAAATGTGCTTCTCTCTGTTTGAGACGAAGCAAATAATTAATACGCACCTAAATCTTCATACGCAGTCAAATATATATGGTTCAGAAAATGAAACCAAATCATGCGACAACACCAAAATACTTGCCTGAGAACACCACAAACCTTGGGAGAACATATAATGTTCATCAAGTTTTGATCAAACATTAGTTAATTGAGCCACAAATACCTAATAGATTCAATCGGACTGGTTTTCATTTTCAAGAATATATCATAGAATCTAAACAAAATGTATATTTATTATATACACACACATGCAATCATGCGTAATTCGTTTCTGTCCATAAATGTAGGGTTTTCGAAATTATATATAAATATATATATATGCACAGAGAGAGAGAGAGATTCATATATCCATGAATGAAAGCTTACCCTGGTTGTGATGGAACTGATCGCCCTCTGCTTTGTTAAATTTGATGATTCCAGAGAAACAAAATAGAGAGAAATTGCAACCTTAAAGCACGGAATTGCTTTGTGTACGAGCTGCGAAGTTGTAATTCCAGAGAGAGAGAGAGAGAGAGAGTCCTGGAGTAGGAAGAGATGCCTAGAGTGAGAGAGTGATTTCGTGATTTTTCTGGTGACTGAGTGTGCCTGTTTTTGTGAAGGTCTTTTTTTAAATATCGTGAATGGTATTAGCGCCAAATATATTGTAATATAGATAAATTGTTTGGACTAATCGGATTATTTTATATTGTCAATTATAAGGACTGCCATATTTATACAATTTTTAATTATAATTAAGACTCATCACGGGAAACGAAATAATTTTTTTTTTAAGAATTGTTTCACAAATCTAACTAAAATTTGCGTGACTCTAATAATTAGTGTAAAAAAATAAAAATAAAACTCTTATTATTATTTAAGAAAATAAATTAAAAAAAAAATTAATAAGATAAAAATGATAAGTAGTTTAAAAGTTTTATTTGGGCGAATAGACAATAATGTTTAGCTACTACCTCAGTCAGAAAAAATAATTACTAATTAATTGATGCGTAAGTTTATTTATTTATTTATTTAATAAAAAACAGTATATATATATATATATATATATATATATGTCTTTTTCTTAATCCGTGGTCCATAAAAGACTTGAGTAAGTGGTTACAAAAGGGAATAGAGACGGTTCCAAAAGGGCATTGAGTCAACGGTTTCTTTCTTGCAATTTCAAGGGAGTAAGATG